TATCTTCTTCGATGCGACGATAGGAAGCAAGAATTATACCATCTGTAAAATCGACACGAGGAGTATCTTTGCAACGGACTGAGGACAGCCGATCAGCCTTTTCACCGTTTTACAGTAAGCTTTATCAAATACAATGAACACTTTACAACACCGATAATGTGTGACATGTAGGGAAGCGTTACATTTTGTAAACAAAATTCTTACTGGGGAGAATTTTTCGTTTAAGGTTACAATTTTCATTCAACTTCCTTCACAAGTAAATTATATGTATAGCAGCCTTATACATAAACCCAGCTGTGTCTTTTAAGTCAAACATGCCATAAATTTGTTATTGCTTGCCCCCCTATATTTTTGTTTCTATATTATTCGAAAATAACATCAGTATTTCGGATATCCTCAGAATGTTAGTGTGTGACATGGTTGCCATGCCAGGAACGTTAATTCCTTTCGCTGTTAGGGAAAATTTAACAGGTCACGCATAAAATTTCACTTTTTCAAAGAAGTCAGACAGAGGTGACATGTTCACAGAAATAAAACATTTGTTCCATTGGCAGATGAAGATTGTTTCAAGAAATTAAAGGACATGCAAGCAGATATTTATGTAGGGTTTCCCATAAGATCAATCCATCCTGCACTTAGCTTTACACTCATGTTAGATGCATGTAATACAGGGAAAGTGTTCATTTGCCTCGTCTCAGTCTGGGAAATTATTAATCTATGGCTCTGGCACTGTTTCAACGAGCTCATGCATGTTTAGAATTGAGACCAATGGAGAAACTGATCACTTTCAACATAACTTGTTTGTGGACATTTCATACAAATTCACTCTTGCATAGGGATTTGTTTCTTATGCATGTACACGAATAACTATGAACACTTGCCTAACTGGTAAAAAATTGGTACTTTTTACGTGGATTCAGTTCTTTAAGGAGAATGCGCACACATACAATAATTATTAATCATGATCACTTTAGTCATTCTCATGAACTGCATCCTTAATGACACTGCTACTTGTAATTTTCTATTTCAGTGATTGTTTCCACTTTACTGTTACGAACAATAGTTGTCAAGTGTCATAATGTACCAAAAAAAGTGCAAACACTTTTATAGCTGTAGTTCGCCGAACAATATTTTTTTTCTCCAATTAGCAGCATTTAGTTGTTTTCACTGCAGCATTATCTCCTAAAATTCCCATCCACTGACTTCTACTGACACATTTCACAAATAATAATTACACTTAAGGGTGAGTTTTTATTAAGCAAATGCAACTGAATATTAGCCGGCAGTTATCCACTATCACCCCCATTGCCTTTTGACCATAATTACACACATGTAGGAGGGTCAAATGGAGTGAACATGGGGGGATGGGACCTATGCAGCATTCGCTAACAACAGCAACCCCATTTAAATCTCGGAAGGTCCTTTTTAAAGCCAGAGCACTAGGTTCAAATTTAATCCACAGGAGATTAAGTACATCTCAGCTTCCAATATTAGATCCACCCTCCCCAGTTACATGATTTACTTCATTTCTCTCGTGTCCTCCCACCCCTTATGGGCTCCCCCCCGAGCTTCGCGAGGTTCTGCGATACACGTATTTCTAGTTTAGTCTTTTAGCTTTAATTTGATATATAACTTGCCTTTGTAGTGAAAATACTCGTGTGACTATAATTTTTTTCAGTGGCCACCTCGTTTTCCTTTACAGAGACCTTAAATACAAAGGTAGGACTTCTCTCAAACAGTATATGCCAATGAAACCCATCAAACGTGGTATAAAAGTGTGGTGTAGAGCAGATAGTCATTCAGGATACTTGTGTGACTTTGACATATACACTGGATGCCATCGTGATGGTATTCAGAGGGAGCTGGGCTACTCTGTTGTCACCCGCCTTTTCCGGGGAATAGAGGGAAAACGGTACAATGTTTACTTTGACAATTTTTTAACATCATATCCTCTGCTACAAGATCTTTATTCTAAGAAAATTCTAGCTTGTGGTACTGTTAGGGACGAAAAGAATTCCCTGCAGTTCTTTTTGACAAAAATGCAATCAAAACAATGAAAAGGGGAGAGACGGTCTGGAGAATGAAGGGTCCTATCCTTGCTCTAAGATGGATAGACAACAAACCAGTGACCATTTCTGGTACAACAACTGGCATTCCTGAAGAGCAACTAGCTGAAGTGGAAAGAAAGAAAAAAGATGGCACCCTTGAGAATGTTGCCTGTCCTCCCATTATTTCAACCTACAACTTCTACATGGGTGGAGTTGACAAAAACGATCAAATGAAGTCTTACTATGGCATTAACATATCTGGAAAGAAATGGAGGACGAGGGTTTTCTTTGATCTCATTGACGGGGCAATATTCAATGGAAAAGTATTGTTCAATGAATCCCCCCACACTTCAAGAAAAAGCTTGAAGGATTTCAAGGTTGATTTAGCGAAGTTGCTCATTGGTAACTTTTGTTCTCGACGAAAGCATGGGAGGTCCTTTCTCAATAATGAA